TTGAACAACATCCCTGATAATGGGCACTTAAGGTTGTCTCTGATTTTTTTTTTTACTATAACAAACATTACGGCAATGAACACCTTGCACATACATGTTAGCAGACATAGTGTCTCTAAGGAAAATTTTTTTGAAGAGTATTTTTTGGTGGATGCTGCCATGTTTCCTTCTAAGAAATCTTAGTCAACGAATACTCCCATCCAGTCTAACTCTTGTCCTTATGACCTTCCTAGATTGACAGTGGGAACAAGACAATTCAGGGTTAGGCAAAATTAGACTCAGGTTTCCCCCAGACTCAGTATTCAAAGATAAAACAGTTTAGGATTTAGGGCTCTGAGGGACTCAGGCCTACAGTTTAGTGCCATTTGATCTAATCATTGTAGATTAAATGGGAGCCGTCAGTTAACCTGAGAACCTGATTGTTATTTTTAACATTATTTCTAGGGAATAAATGTTTTGGTTTTATCAACTTAAAAACAAACTTTTGAATCATAATAAACATTTATTAAACTCCAGTATTTATCAGGGGCAGCACAAGGTACCCAAGAGATAAAACGATTTCTGCAAAGAAACTCGTGGAGAAGATAGTAATTAATATTAAGTTAGGTGTGATTATGTTTAAAAATGCTTATAAACTACCAAGTTTTTACAATGTTAATTTGCCCATAACTTATGATATCTCATTTCCTTAATTAATTCAGCTTCCTCAACATTTGTTTCAAATCACAATCTCTATTAAGGGTACTTTAATCCAAAACCAGAGTAAAAGTCAAAGTCTTCACAATAGGCCACAAGGCTTTACACAATTTGGCCTCTTCTTCCCTTCTCCACGGCAGACTCCCCTTGGCTCTCTCCTCTCCTACAATTTTTCTTCCTGGCCTCTATGCAATTCTTTTTTTTTTTTTTTTTCCTCTATGCAGTTCTTAAACAGGCCAGGCCACTCCTACCTTAAGGGTTAGGGTCTCTGCCCTGGTGGTTCTTCTTCCCAGACTGCTTTCTATCCAGATGTTTCCATCGGTTTCTTCAAGTTTTACTCAGATGTCTCCTCAATGACACCCACTCCGATGAACCTATTTAAAATTGCAACTGCCTCCCTACCCCATTCTCCCTGTTCTATTTTCTATAGCACTTACCACTTTCTAATATACTTGTAATAGGATTTATTATGTTTATTTTTTAATTGCCTTTCTTTCTCCTCACCATCCCCACTAAACTAAAGCTCCAAAAGGGGAGAGAATTTTAATACCTTTGCTCATTATCTAGTAAACACAAGTTGAGAAGACTATTTCCTGAGGTAGTTCTTTGAATTCCAAAACTAAATTCATAGCACCACCTGGTGTTCTTAGAAGGATGTGCAGATTAATCCTGAGATTTATTTGCATTAGCCATGAGATAAACCATACTGGTTTAATCAATATTTAATTACTCTGTTTTTTACCATCCTCTGTGGGCTTGTAAAAATTAAAATGTTTTCAGTGAGTAAACAGTATCGGACATATTGGCTTCTCTAAGAGCAACCTCTTCTCCATTGACTTTCCTGTTGCTCCCCAGAACTCTTAGGGAGGTAGAAGTGTCATAAGGTCTTATGTCTTTAACCTTAGGGCATCTCTCCCTCTCCGCTGCCAAAAAACAAAAACAGGGTAATTGCCTTTGATGTTTTGGTATCTACACCTGTTCTCCAGAATATCAAAATACATATTCGTTGATTTAAAAATTTTTGTTTTGGCCATAAAAGCCCCTAAGTGATAAAATACTAGCAAGGATAATGGTAATACCATTTAAAATAGTATCAGGATTTTCTAAGATAATCTTCTGATTTAGAAAATATTGGTTTCTTTAGATATGATTTAAAAAAAGGGAAAAATGACAACGAAATCTGCCTTAAAAGCATTAAAATTTTTAATATTTAACAGTAAATAATAAAAATAATTAGCTAATTTTTATTGAATGCTTATGGTGTCCAGAACTATTTTGAAAGCTCATTAATCACCTTTACAACTTTATAATGTAGGTTCTCTATATTAAGCCTCACTTTTCAGATGATGGAATGGACATACAGAGAAGTCAAGTAACTTGACAAAAGTCACAGAACTAGTAAAGAGTGCAGCTAGGATTCAAAGCCAGTTAGGATGGCTCCACAGTTCATATCCATGAGCTCAGGCCCATGATTTTATCTACCTCCCCACAGAAATGGGAATGATGCTGCTTTGTTTCAAAGTTCTTGGCCTGGCCAAAGAAATTAATTTCTTAATATCCTCTTTTTTCAAAATGGAATCAAGGCGACCATAAAAGAAACAGAAGCATATACAATTATCTTAGGAATAAAGTTTAATTCTTTTTACAGTCAAGAAAGTAGAAGCTACAGAATTTACCTTGCATTCTAAGGATGCTGTGGCAAAGAGCAAACACAACATTAACCTCAGGGTCAAAGGCAGAGGATGTTTTTCAGTGGCACAATGAAGAATCAGCTGGTTTTTGCTGCCCATCCACCCTTTTGCAATCTACTCAGAATTTTTGATTCTATCCTCCAGTTGCCTAAAGCTTCCCCCTACTCTACCACTAGTTGTAATATATATTTTTTAATTTAATTTTATTATTAGTTTCAAGTATACCGTAAATTGGTTAGACATTTATATAGTTTATGAAACGATCCCCCTAATTGCTCTTTCTCTCTCTGGCTCTACACCTAGCCATTACATTACTGCTGACTGCATTCCCTATGCCATGCTTCCCATCCCCATAACCAGCTATCAACTACTAATTTGTACTTCTTTAACCTTTTGCTCCTTTATCCCAGGCCCCCAACCCTCCTCCCTTCAGGCCATCACCAGATTGTCCTCTATATCTGTGAGTCCATTATTGATTAGTTTGTTCTTTTTGTTCTTTAGATTCCGCATATAAGTGAAATCACATGGTATTTTTCTTTCTCTGACTTATTTCACTCAGCATAAAAATCTCTAGGTCCATTCATGTCATTGCGAAGTGAAGAATTTCATTTTTTTAAATGGCTGAGTAATATTGGATATTATAACTTCTTTATCCAATAATCTGTTGATGGGCATTTAAGTTGTAATATTTTAAAGTGGACGGAAGTGACTCAGTTTCCCGAATTACCAATTTATATGCTCATTTCTAGAATTTGGTTCATCTCAGCTAAATGTTAAGAAAACAACCGAATTATCTATTTAAGTGAATCCATTAACCCATTTCCCGTTTAGGAAAAAAAGTGCAGCCCGCCACCAGAGTTCATTTAACATTACGTGTAGGAATGTTACATTTTCTAGGATTTGACACATTTAGTGATGGAGAGTTACTATATTTTGTAAATAGAAATACCATCACTATAAACAGAATGCTATAAATAGAATGACGTCATTTGTTTCCAAAGACCACCGATACACTAGAGCGATGAGAATATAATAATAACAGCAAGATATTTTGTCGCAAATTTTGGGGTGAGGTTAGGACTGTAATCTGCACGTTATCTCGTTATCTCGGGGTTAACGCTACAGTTGCAAGCGCTGCTGGTGAGTATTCTTGGGGCAAATGGGAAATGGGTTAAGGAGGGATTTATTAGGTAACACTCCAGAATTATCTGCATTATATATTAAATTCTTAACGGGAATATGAATTCCCAAGAATTTCTGATTGATTGGTCTTTCAGGGGATATCTGTCAGTAGGAGGCATTCCAGGTTCTTGAGGGGATTCTGGAAATGGCGCCGCTCTTGGCAGCCTCAGCTGGAACCTATGACTACTTTCCTAAACGTTTACTTGTCTCTTTAAATTTCCTAAAATACAAGGTTATTTGGGAAAGGGAAATGGTTATTTTCCATTTTGGATAGTTTTTCAACATGTGTCTTGAGGATTATTTGCTTTGGAGTCACTTGGGAAGATTCCCATCCCACTTCTGACCTATGGCATCACAATCTACCAGTTGAGCTCAAAAATCTGTATTCCAACAACCTTCCCCAGATGAACTGTACGTGTGTATGAGTTTTGTAACAACTAACTTAAGGGATAATTTTGAAAAGTAAAATATCAGCGTCATTTGGGTTGTTGGATTATTTCCTATTATAGACCACAGACCAGAACTTCAAGCAGTATCGTGTAAAAACCTAATTATAAGATCAAATATAATTTTAGGACATTAATAACTAACAAATCTATTTATAGGATTGTATGTCTTTTTATTGTAAATTATATGCGTAAAACATCCCAATAAATTATATGTGTAAAATGTCTCAAAGAATTCTTTGATGGATGTGATTCAATCCTACCTTGCCTTCCATAAAATTAACCAGCTGGCCAAAGTTTTTACTATGCTACTCACAAGGGAGTCTCTAGTAACCCCCGAGGCAGTCTTTCTGAACAAGCCTCATTTCCTGTATAAAAGGAACTGAGTTTGGTCAACTGTGCAGAACTTAGGCTGATTAAACTTAAATTGGTTATCAAAGGAGACTATAATTCTGCAGCTTTAGAGATGTTTTAAAATAGGAAATACAATCATCTTTTTGGATGAGCAGAGCATACAGTAACCTAAAGATAAAGGATCCTAATAGAAGGCCTTTTAAGATTCTTTCTAGTTTTATACTTTGACTAAACTGCTTCTCCATCCAATCAAATGTCAACTTGTTTTTCTTGTTTCATTATTTAATCAGCTGAGCCTGGTAAGAATTCCTTGCCCCTCTCTGAAAATATAATAGCCTCTTCAGAATCCTTTACAAATAGTTTAGATGTGTATAACATACAAAGAAGGAAACCATTTAACTTGATGATAATACCCTGCCCAAATAATTCAGATACTTAACAGAATTTTTCACTGAAATTATTTGGTTTGGCCAAGTTAACTGGCCTAATCCCTTCAGTTACACCATATAATTACTCTTGTCTCATACTTTATTTTCACTTGTCACTTTCTTCTGATTCTTATCAATTGTCACTACCTTGTTTCTCTTTCACATATAGCCTAAATCACAATTCAACCAAAAAGGTCACTTACCTTGAAAGTCTTCCTTTGGAGCTAGGCTGCATGACCGCTGTGCTGCCAGAAGGAAAAAGAAATATCGAAGGACAGACTCGGGTTGCTGGGATTTGTAGATGCTGGGTGCAGCTAAGGAGCCAGAAACTAGTAACACTATGTAACAACTCACTCCATACCACCTTTCAAAAACTAAAGATCTCTTCTAGAGGATGACTAGTTGATAATCTAAGGGGAGACCTTTTATTCAAAGCTTAATACTGCATTTGGATTTGTTCCACTGTATCTGGATTTGTTCCAGTGTATCTTTGGAACCAGGAAACTAATAATCTTTAATAATTTTACTTAGCATTTCTTATATTTCTTGAATGAAAATGGGATGGATCGGTGGGATCAATGGCTAGATTTTTAGGAGACAATAGTGACTTTTCCATTTTCTCTGAATACTGATGAAACTCTCTTATAACTCTACAGAGAAATAAACGAGGCAGTGTGAGGTTGGGTAAAAAGGACAAAGAGGCAGGAGTTCTAATCCAGACCAGGTTCTGGAAGTAGAGCTTCATTCACTTTTCTCTATTTAGAGGCTGAAGAAACTTTTTTTAAAAAACTTCTTCACCAAACAGAAATGCTAATCAGTTACCAACATCATTAATCAGTGTACCAGGGGTTTTAAAAGATGTTTCATTTGCGATTTAAAAGAAATATGAAAATCTAAATGGTGGCGAGTCAGTCTTTTAAAGGCCAGGTAAGAATTGATGAATTGACAACAAAGTCACATGTTTTAAGCTGAATATACTGACTATTCATATGTCTAGAAAAATAACTTCGAGTCTGTTGTCCACAAATTTACCGGAAAGCCCTGTTAATGACACAACTTTGGATCTCACAGACATCTGAGTTTGCCTGCAGCATTTTGCTGGAGCGGGGAGACTGGACGCTTCCGGCAGGGTTCGAAAGGTTATAGTTTGGGAAGTTAAAGAAAGGCGACAGCGGTAGGGCCTTTCCCACGACCTCCAGTGGAAAATGTTAAGGGAGAAATAAAACCGGCCCAAATTCCCCAGTGTGGTCCTCACTCGAGGTTGTGGTTACCGGAGACGCGCGGTGGTGGGTCCCTTACGATTTACATACAAACGCGCGAGCACAAAATATGAGCTCGCCCGGCGTAGGCAGCACCGCCTCCGCCGCAGCGCCGCCTCCGCTGCCTCTGAGGCCGGCGTTTGCCGCAGAGCCCCGCGAGGCGAAGGCACCTCCCGGCCAGCCCCGCCGCGCTGACGGGCGTCTCCGCGAGCCAATGAGTGCGCCGGGAGGCGGGATTTCCCGCCTGGTCTCACCGCGCCTAGCGAGGGCATCGAGGGCGGTGCAGGCGGGGACCGCGGCAGCCCCTGCGAGAGAGAGTGGGTTGGGGTTAGCTGCTGCGGGCAGCTCGGCGTGGGGAGTTGTGGGCGGCCGCCGCCCTCCCTCCTCTACGATGCCGGGGATCGACAAGCTGCCCATCGAAGAGACGCTGGAAGACAGCCCGCAGGTGAGGCGGCGGTGCTTGCTGAGGGAAGGAGCGGGGCGGGCCGACCCCAGGCCTGCGGCCGCGGTGGCCG